GTGATTGGTGGAATGATGAAGTAAAGGGTGATAAAAGAGAAAAAGGTAGCTTATGAGAGGTTTTTACAAAGCAGAAGTGTTATAAGAAGAGCAGAGTATATGGAGAGTAAAAGAAAGGTAAAGAGAGTGGTGAGAGAGTGCAAAAGGAGAGCAGATGATAGAGTGGGAGAGGCACTGTCAAGAAATTTTAATGAAAATAAGAAAAAATTTTGGAGTGAGTTAAACAAGTTAAGAAAGCCTAGGGAAAATATGGATTTGTCAGTTAAAAACAGAGTAGGGGAGTTAGTAGATGGGGAGATGGAGGTATTGGGTAGATGGAGAGAATATTTTGAGGAACTTTTAAATGTTAAGGAAGAAACAGAGGCAGTAATTTCATGCACTGGTCAGGGAGGTATACCATCTTTTAGGAGTGAAGAAGAGCAGAATGTAAGTGTGGGCGAGGTACGTGAGGCATTACGTAAAATGAAAGGGGGTAAAGCAGCTGGAACTGATGGATCATGACAGAAATGTTAAAAGCAGGGGGGATATAGTGTTGGAGTGGTTGGTGCTTTTGTTTAATAAATGTATGAAAGAGGGGAAGGTACCTAGGGATTGGCAGAGAGCATGTATAGTCCCTTTATATAAAGGGAAAGGGGACAAAAGAGACTGTAAAAATTACAGAGGAATAAGCTTACTGAGTATACCAGGAAAAGTGTACGGTAGGGTTATAATTGAAAGAATTAGAGGTAAGACAGAATGTAGGATTGCGGATGAGCAAGGAGGTTTTAGAGTGGGTAGGGGATGTGTAGATCAGGTGTTTACATTGAAGCATATATGTGAACAGTATTTAGATAAAGATAGGGAAGTTTTTATTGCATTTATGGATTTAGAAAAGGCATATGATAGAGTGGATAGAGGAGCAATGTGGCAGATGTTGCAAGTTTATGGAATAGGTGGTAAGTTACTAAATGCTGTAAAGAGCTTTTATGAGGATAGTGAGGCTCAGGTTAGGGTGTGTAGAAGAGAGGGAGACTACTTCCCGGTAAAAGTAGGTCTTAGACAGGGATGTGTAATGTCACCATGGTTGTTTAATATATTTATAGATGGGGTTGTTAAGGAAGTAAATGCTAGGGTGTTCGGGAGAGGGGTGGGATTAAATTATGGGAATCAAATTCAAAATGGGAATTGACACAGTTACTTTTTGCTGATGATACTGTGCTTATGGGAGATTCTAAAGAAAAATTGCAAAGGTTAGTGGATGAGTTTGGGAATGTGTGTAAAGGTAGAAAGTTGAAAGTGAACATAGAAAAGAGTAAGGTGATGAGGGTGTCAAATGATTTAGATAAAGAAAAATTGGATATCAAATTGGGGAGGAGGAGTATGGAAGAAGTGAATGTTTTCAGATACTTGGGAGTTGACGTGTCGGCGGATGGATTTATGAAGGATGAGGTTAATCATAGAATTGATGAGGGAAAAAAGGTGAGTGGTGCGTTGAGGTATATGTGGAGTCAAAAAACGTTATCTATGGAGGCAAAGAAGGGAATGTATGAAAGTATAGTAGTACCAACACTCTTATATGGGTGTGAAGCTTGGGTGGTAAATGCAGCAGCGAGGAGACGGTTGGAGGCAGTGGAGATGTCCTGTTTAAGGGCAATGTGTGGTGTAAATATTATGCAGAAAGTTCGGAGTGTGGAAATTAGGAGAAGGTGTGGAGTTAATAAAAGTATTAGTCAGAGGGCAGAAGAGGGGTTGTTGAGGTGGTTTGGTCATTTAGAGAGAATGGATCAAAGTAGAATGACATGGAAAGCATATAAAATCTATAGGGGAAGGAAGGCGGGGTAGGGGTCGTCCTCGAAAGGGTTGGAGAGGGGGTAAAGGAGGTTTTGTGGGTAAGGGGCTTGGACTTCCAGCAAGCGTGCGTGAGCATGTTAGATAGGAGTGAATGGAGACGAATGGTACTTGGGACCTGACGATCTGTTGGAGTGTGAGCAGGGTAATATTTAGTGAAGGGATTCAGGGAAACCGGTTATTTTCATATAGTCGGACTTGAGTCCTGGAAATGGGAAGTACAATGCCTGCACTTTAAAGGAGGGGTTTGGGATATTGGCAGTTTGGAGGGATATGTTGTGTATCTTTATATGTGTATGCTTCTAGACTGTTGTATTCTGAGCACCTCTGCAAAAACAGTGATAATGTGCGAGTGTGGTGAAAGTGTTGAATGATGATGAAAGTATTTTCTTTTTGGGGATTTTCTTTCTTTTTTGGGTCACCCTGCCTCGGTGGGAGATGGCCGACTTGTTGAAAAAAAAAAAAAATTATAATAATAAATACAATAGAATTGAAGAAGGAAATTGTACAAAAATAGGAGGGAGTGGTTGACACATCGTCAGTCAGTGTGGCTTTGTTTATGCTGGAGTGAGCATTAGTCTCCGTGCTCTTCCAAACATTTCACAATAATTCATTGTGTTTGGTGCTTGTAGATTGAGTGCGACTGGAGTGGTAGAGGCAGTGGTTGAGGAAGCGGTTGAGGCAGTGGGTGAGGTAGTGGGTGAGGCAGCGGTTGAGGCAGTGGGTGAGGCAGCAGTTGAGACAATGGTAGAGGCAGTGGGCGAGGCAGTGGGTGAGGCAGTGGGTGAGGCAATGGTAGAGGCAGCAGTTGAGACAGTGGTATTTAATAACATGTTATAAATAATAATACATATTATTAATATGTATTATTATTATTATTAATAACATGTATGTTATTAAATACCACTGCCTCACCCACTGCCTCAACCGCTGCCTCAACCACTGCCTCACCCACTGTCTCACCCACTGCCTCACCCACTGCCTCAACCGCTTCCTCAACCGCTTCCTCAACCGCTGCTTCAACCACTGCCTCACCCACTGCCTCACCCACTGCCTCACCCACTGCCTCAACCACTTCCTCAACCACTGCCTCTACCACTCCAGTCGCACTCAATCTACAAGCACCAAACAATGAATTATTGTGAAATGTTTGGAAAAGCACTGAGACTAATGTTCACTCCAGCATAAACAAAGCCACACTGACTGATGATGTGTCAACCACTCCCTCCTATTTTTGTACAATTTCCTTCTTCAATTCTAGCGTATTTATTATTATAATTATTATTATTATTATTATTACTATTGTTATTATTACCAGCAGCAGAAATGTTTGATTCTTTGCTGTGTTTAAGAGTAAACACATGTCACCATCCAATACCTGTCTGAATAGCCATTCCAATATGCAGTCATGAATGGGTTTACATTATTTATACTGTAGTTTAATAGCAAATAATGAACAAACAAAACACTCGCCACACTGGTGGGAGGGCTGGCTGCCAGTTGCGGGGGTCGGAGGGAGGGTAGTAGGGACTCACAGGTAGCAGGAAACTCAAATATGATCTGGCGGCTGGGAATTTGGAGGCTGGGAATTTGGTGGTTGGGAATTCGCGAATGTGTGAATCCCGTGAAAGTTGAAAACGTGAATGTTGAGGGAGACCTGTAATACAAAATATATCGCATATACACGAGGAATCGTCCTCCTTGGCTTGTAAACAATGGCACACTGGCTTTACATGGGCTCAGGCCATGCGGACACGTTCAGGACAAATGCCCTTAACCGAGTTCTTGGGCATTAGCCAAGCCAATATTTTGATGCAAAAACGTGCTGCTATCTGATTTTGGCGTTAGCCGATGTCGCCGTTACCCAAGGGTCCACTGTATATGATATTCATAAATGAAATTTCTAACTTTCCAAAAGGAAGTACTAAGAAATAGCTGCCCCACAAACTCGCTTAATCCTGTCACTGTTGAGACCCCGACTCACAAACTTGCTCTCGGTGTCGAAAAAAAAATATCTTATGAAGTGATAGAGAATCTATTCCTGGTGGTAATGACACCAAAAGGACGACATTTGATAGTAAAATTATGGAATTACTCTAGCGAAGTCAGCGATCTTGGCGATAGTTACAAATTGGCAATTTTGCCCACTTTGAGCCCTATTTTTGGCCAATTCCATTGTTCCAGTCGACCAAATTCATAGCTATTTCGCTAGAACTCCGTCTGTTCTATCGGTTGAGGACAAGAAACTGCTCATTTATTGATTTCAACTACCCAATAAAGTGATCAGAAATTGATAATTTATCCAATTTCATATTCATTTCAAGTAAGGCCAATTTCAAAATAGGGGCCAGAATAAACAATGCAGACATTTCTAGCATTAAAATAACATTTTCTCTGTTCATTAGTCATGTCTCCAGACCCCCTCTTACATTACACCTGCTTTCCATTTTGAATTTTTATTCACACAAAAAATAGAAGATTTACTGTTATGCAGACTACTGCATTATTGTAAAAATGCAGTAAATAATATCAGCACATTTGTGAAAGAATATTAGACTTATCAACTGATGTGCATTGGACATGTGGCGTGATTTGTTTACTCTTGAACATCAGCAAAAAAACGAACATTTCTGCTATTTTGAGTTCAATTTCAAGGTACTGTTATTCTGAAAACCATTCAAAATCATTTCTATTTCTGTAATATATCTTCCATTCTATCAAATGAGACCAAGGAAATGAGAATACAACCATAAATACCATATGAAAATACACCGCAAAGTCAGTGTTTTAAACCAAAAACACAGTCGGAGTTTTTTCTCATTATGCACTGTGTGCTGCAGGATTTTTTTATACTATGCACACTGACCACTCAGACCCATTCTCTCATATGTAGGTCTACTAGCTTTCTCCCACTAGATTTGAAAATGCTAGAATTCTGGCATAGTACTACAGCACCAACAGTGAAAGGGTTAAAATCATCTAAGTTCCATCTTTAATTTGTTGCATGACTGTAAAATATGTATCCTGGCACTGTACCTGAATCACCTTACACTATTTTACTTACATAAATGTTATGCCAAGGATAAGAAAAAATCATGAGTTCTTAGCAGTTACCTTACATTCATCCTAATAAGTAGTAAACTAAGCAAACTATTATAGAAAAAAAAACTTACCAGCATGCCTGCCAAACAGGTCATGCCTCCTCCAAGTTCTAACACAGATTTTCCAGAGAATATTTTGAGATTATTGAGGCAGTAATATGTAAGTATTTCTTCAGATGGCCAGATACCTATGAAGATAGAGAATATATTATTACAATACAAAAAGGTACATTACTCACTCCATTCCTCTGGAAACTATTGACTTATTATTATATATTAAACAATGGTAAAAACAATTAGGAAAGATAAAGTAAAAATCAGAAGAAAATTGTAAAAACATATAAAATACAACCAGAAGAACATGAATACAGGTCTCCCTTAACATTCGTGTTTTCCACTTTTGTGGGCTTCGAACATTCGCGAATTCTCAGTTGCCCAATCATATTTAAAACATGTCATTACATATCTTAGGAATTGTGGGGGGTGGCAATGTTTGTTCGGAGATGGGACAAGATAGTCCTTCTATATGACACTAATATCAACTCTAGGGCTTATTTATCTATCGCAATTCATCTAGGGAGAGAGAGCAATCATAGTACTAGGGGGAGAGAGCAATCATAGTACTAGGGGGAGAGAGCAATCATAGTACTAGGGGAGAGAGCAATCATAGTACTAGGGGGAGAGAGCAATCATAGTACTAGAGGGAGAGAGCAATCATAGTACTAGGGGGAGAGAGCAATCATAGTACTAGGGGGAGAGAGCAATCATAGTACTAGGGGGAGAGAGCAATGACATAATAAACAATATTAATAACATAGAAACATATATACTCTAGAATGAATAAAATACGTCATTATGTCTCGAGTGTTGCTGTGTTGTTGTTGTTGTTGGGTGTATAAGGGCCACTGAAACATAAGCCGTACATAGTGGTGGTGGAGGCGGCATCAGAGGCAGTAGAGACTAGAGACAGAGGTGTTGTCAGTCACCCTGTATAACTCCAACAACATTGGAGGAGTTAGGTTCATGCTGTCCTTTTTCTAATGATTAATCGCTTAATTTACTTGCTACACTGTTAATGCTACACTTTATCGCTGGCCTTTATCGACTTATGCTGTTTTAGTATTGTACATATCATAGAATCACTGAAGAAGGCACATTCTCCCCTCTCTCTTCCTCTTCCACTTTGGTACTCTGCTATGAGTTCTTTCTTGAATTCTATAGTTTTTCTCAGCTTCTTTACTAAAGGGCTGGAACTAGTACAATATTTTAAGATGTTTTCAGGTGTTTTATGACTGTTCATGGTTCAATAGGTTAAGGAAGCAGTATTGTATTATATTTCCCTACAATATACTGGGGCACCGAACATTCGCAATTTTTCAACATTCACAAGGTTCTTGATCCCCTAACCCTTGCGAATGTTGAAGGAGACCTGTATGCAGCATTTATCTTGAAGTACTGTACATAGCAGTGAGGGAAGAATATAGAGAACACTAGAAACTTGGAGATACTACTGGAAATTTGTCATAATTAGATATTGAGTAATGATGCGATCACCAAAAATATTAGATATTGTAAAGTAACTTAGGAATGATTAAAGTATTGAACATATATTAATGATTATATATATATCAAACAAGATGAATTTACCAAGTACAGTGGACCCTCGGTTATTGGCTATAATCCGTTCCAAAAGGTCGGCCTAAAACCGAAATGACCGAAAACCGAAACAATATTTCCCATAAGAATTAATGCAAATACAATTAATCCATTCCAGACACCCAAAAATATTAACAAAAATTACATTTTTTTTAAGATTAATTATAGTTTTACATACACAAAACAATGAGAACTAAATAAAATAAATAAATTAACATTTAAATTACTATTACATACCTTTATTGAAGATCCTTGTTGGCTTATGGAAGACAGGGAGGAGGAAAGTGGGAGGACTGATTATTGTTTGGAAGGGGAATATCCCTCCATAAGGACTTAGGTATCAAAGCCCTCTCTGGGGTTATGTCCCTTCTTTGTCTTTTACTGTCACTAGGACTAGCTTGAGAGTCACTGCAGCTCTGTCACTCAAAAAACTGTCCAGAGAAGTCTGTTTCTGGAATCTCTAAGATTTCCCTGAAGTAGGACAAGGTTTTGTCACTGAACATGTTGCAGATATGACTTGTTTCAGCTTGGTCAGGGTGACATTTCTCCACAAAAGTTTGCACCTCCCTCCAATTTGCACAAATATCCTTAATCACTGAAGAAGGCATATTCTCCCCTCTCTCTTTCTCCTCCTGTGAAGCAATTTCCTCAGCTGTGGTCTGTTGCTGTTGCAGATGAAGCTCATGCAGCTCTTCAATGGTTAGCTCTTCCTTGTGGTCCTCCACCAACTCTTCCACATCCTTGCCACTAACCTCCAACCCCATGGACACCCCAAAGACACAATATATTCCATAACAGGCATAGGGTTTTCAGGGTCAGCCCCAAACCCTTCAAAATCCTTGTCGAGGACACATTCTGGCCACAATTTCCTCCAAGCAGCGTTCCAAGTCCTGGAAGTCACTCCCTGCCAAGCCTTACCTATAAGGCTTATGCAATGGAGGATACTGAAGCAATTCCTCCAGAACTCTCTCAGGGTCAAGTCAGTGTCCGAGTTCATTTCAAGCACCTTTGAAACACTGCTTTCGTGTAGAGTTTTTTGAAGATAGAAATGACCTGCTGGTCCATGGGCTGGATGAGAGGAGTGGTGTTAGGTATAAAACTGAAGTTACTAAACAATTGGTCTTCCAAGTCTGGAGGATGAGCAGGAACATTGTCCAGTACCAGGAGACACTTGAGTGGCAATTTATTTTCATGGAGGTATTTTTTCACACTGGGGCCAAACACTTCATGAACCCATTCAATAAAAATGTGCCTTGTGACCCATGCCTTATTATTAGCTTTCCACAACACACAATTTACTCTTGATGACATTGTTTTTCTTGAACACTCTGGGATTTTCAGAGTGATACACCATTAAAGGCTTCGCTTTGAAATCCCCAGTAGCGTTACCACAGAACTAAAGAGTAAGCCTGTCTTTCATAGGCTTGTGTTCTGGCAGTGCCTTTTCCTCCTGCATGATGTAGGTCCTCTGACATTTTCTTCCAAAGAGACCTGTCTCGTCACAACAGAACACTTGTTAGAGGGAGGAATCCTTCAGCCTCTACGTACCCTTGGAATTCATCAACAAATGCTTCAGCTGCACATTTGTCAGAACTTGCAGCCACACCATGCCTTACAACATTGTGTATGTCATTATGCTTCTTAAATCTCTCAAACCAGCCTTTGCTGGCCCTAAGTTCAATAACAGCAGGACTCATTCCAGGCATTTTCTTTACGAGATCCACGTGCAACTGCCTTGTCTTTTCACAAATGATCGACTCCATAATACAGGTCCTCCATCACAAATCCGGCATCATTGGGACCTGTAGTGTGCCGGATTACAGAGTGGTTAGGGTAGAATACACTTAATAAAATTAACCAACTTGACTTACACAAAGTTCATTGAACATCGGCAAAAATCGAATATTTCCGCTACTTTGAGCTTAATTTCAAGGTACTTTTCGTCATGAAAGCAATCAAAATCATGTCTATTTCTGTAATATATCTTCTAATCCATCAAATGAGCCTAAAAAATGAGAATACAACCATAAAAACCATATGAAAATATACTGCAAAGAGGCGGCTAATGCCATGTTCATAAAATTGCTCACAACCAATGTCCAGAATATCTTGCTGTCAATTTTGTCAAGGTTGGGAACCAAAGCAATCATAGTACTAGGGGGAGAGAGCACAACTTTGTAGTACCCACAGTCAGTGGCCAGGCTTCAAACACCTTTTATTGTACAGCAATAAAGGAATGGAACAGACTGCCCGCACACGTCAAAGCCAGTCATAGCATGAACCAGTTCAAGAAGAGTGCCAAAAGGTGTCTGATGAATGTAGCTACAGAAAGGGAGGGGAATGATTTTCTATTTTTTAGCTAACATACGTGTAAATTTTACCTTATTCCTAGTAATGACCCTCGTATTGTAGATAGTCTTAATGACCCTCGTGTAGTAGATAGTCTTTTTAGTATGATAATAAGATGTTATCTTCATTGTAGAATAAGAAAATATTATAACCTTTATATTATAATAATAAGGTAAAAGGACCCCAATGGAAATAAGTCACTCTGTCTGACTTCTTTTGGGTTATCCTAGGTTCTCTACACATATGCTGCTATGTATGATAATTCTATGTAACTGTATTTGTGTATACCTGAATAAACTTACTTACTTACTTACTAACTCCCTTATTTAGCGTCCATCTTTTTTATTTTTGGTGTATGTTAAGAAGCATCTTTACATCATACATTGCCTAAGTTTCAATAACATAGCCCAACAAACAACCGAGAAAAAAATATTTACCAAAAATCATATATGGCAAGCCCAAGCCAGGTACTGGAAATAAGTCACTTTGTCTGACTTTTCTGGGTTATCCTAGGTTCTCTATACAGACACTGCTATGTATGATAATCTATGTAACTGTCTTTGTGTATACCTGAATAAACTTATTTACTTCTAGTCTGTCAATTGAGTACAAGAAACCGCCCATTCACTACTTCAACTACCCAATAAAGTGGTCAGAAATTGGCAATTTGGCCAATTTCACACAAATTTTAACAGATGCCAATTTCAAAATAGGGTCCAGAATAAACAATGCAGACATTCCTGGCACTAAAGTAACATCTTCTCTGTTCATTAGTCATGGCTACAGGCCCTTCTTATATTACTCTTACTTACCATTTGGAACTTTTATTCACAAAAAAATAGATTTACTGTTATGCGGGATTAGATTTACTGAGGTGCGGGATTACCAAAACTGTTGTCCAGAGGGCTGAGGAAGGGTTGTTGAGGTGGTTCGGACATGTAGAGAGAATGGAGCGAAACAGAGTGACTTCAAGAGTGTATCAGTCTGTAGTGGAAGGAAGGCAGGGTAGGAGTTGGCCTAGGAAAGGTTGGAGGGAGGGGGTAAAGGAGGTTTTGTGTGCGAGGGGCTTGGACTTCCAGCAGGCATGCGTGAGCGTGTTTGATAGGAGTGAATGGAGACAAATGGCTTTTAATACTTGACGTGCTGTTGGAGTGTGAGCAAAGTAACATTTATGAAGGGGTTC